AAATGATAATAGTAATGTAATAATAATAATAATAATAATAATAAAATAATAGTAAAAATAATAACAGTAATAACAGATAAATAATAGTAATAATAATTATAACAGTAATGCAGTAATAACATAATAATAACAGTTAATAATAAAAGTAATAATAATTATTAATACATACTGCAGTAATGCTTTCCATAACCACTACAAAAGGATCATTAGTAAGATATCTTGAATCACTCAACGCATATTCTTTCCACATTTGTGCAAATAATCCATTACTTTCCGCAATGGTGCTATGGAACAATCCAAAATATCCCTCGAAAAAGAAATGAATGCATCCTGTTATGATAAACCATACAAAGATTCCTTTTTGCTTTGGCACGACCGTTTGTTTAGGAATAATTATTGCTAGGGATATGCCTGCTATCACAATGACTCCAATTAAAAAGCTTATTAAAAGGAATGCTGTTGAGTATGTTGGTTCTGTATAGTTGGGAAGCTATTGAATATTTTAGCATCGTATAATTTTATCAGAAACGTGAGAAGATTGGGTTATGAGATGACCGGATACATAGGTTACGTGAGATAACGTGGTTAACGTGGATAACATGAGATGATTGGGAATATGTAAATTACGGAGAGATTTCAGTAAATGTCGAAAAAAATGAGAGGATGTTACGTAAGTTCATCAAAACCATTCATCAATCTTTTTGGGGAAAAAACAACCAATAATTCTTATAACCTTAAGATCGGTTGGATAATAAGGATGTCTTAACGACACTTTTCCTCCATCGGGATTCGAAGTCGAGAAAAGAGAGAAGATTCCCATGATATTGATATTGATGGTATCGGTTTTTTTGTCTTGAAATTTGAAATTTTTAGTTTTTACTATCGATCGATAATTACCTTTAAAAAAAATAAAGATGTGAAAATGTACGTACAAATGTGTAAATTCTTTACTTATTTATACTTGCGCATATAAGTCTAAAGTGTTCCGTGTAAAAACCGAATTAGGAATTAATGTTACAATTTTGGCGGGTCTTCACAAATAGAGTACTTCTTTATTCTTAGCGTTAGTGTTCCCACCACGCAAATGTTTTCATTCTACTAAAATTTCAGTGCTACGTTTCTTTAATTTAATGGTGTTAATCAATAACCAATCAATAGATCAAGTCATATATAAGTTATAGATATATATATATTTTTTATAAATATCAAACTATGTATGTGTCATACACATGTACATATATCGATATACCAGACATATCAATATACGTATACGTATATGTAGATATATACATATATATATAGCATAATGAGTGACAAGGTTTTTC